CATTTGTGATCGGAGAAATGACAAACAACAAGCCCTACTCTACACTGCCCAAAAAATTTGCTTTAAATATATAAAATATAAAAACTCTTTAAATATAAAAAGCATACTTACAGTCTTCTCACTTCAGACTCGTGGCGCCAGGATCTGATTTACGAACCTCCTGTTGTCTAGGGCCCCTTTGTGTAATTCGGCTCTTTGGGTTGTTCTGTCCAATCTGATCGAATCTTAAATTGTCTGAGTCGCTCTGATACCCTACATCCTTTTATAGAACAAATGTTGCCAGAAGAGTCAGATTCCTGTCAGAGAGGAGGGAAGAGATTCAGGCTTGAATGAAACATAAGACAGCTGCTACATTGCAATGAATATTTTCATAATCATTTCAAGAACTTACAAGAGCTGCTTTCTTAATAATTCACTCTTCTCAGCGACCCTGTCAATGACTATGTCTGAGTCCAGAGCCATGAGGATTTCTTTCTTAGTGGCCATCAACATAAACATTTGTTTGCTGACAGTGCTTCTAAGTCTGCTTTTGATGAATTTGAGTGTAGACAATGTTCTTTCACAGGCCAAGGAGTCAAGGAGAGGGTCGGCAGGAACTTATATGCAAGCCCAGGGAGATGATAAGCACTTGACAACATGTTAAACAGAGGCTTTGGTGGCTTCCCTGAATTGTTCTAGAAATGCGACAATGCCAGTCACTGCTACTTCATTTGAGATTGTTAGGCGGGCTACTTCTGCTCATTCTTCTAGAAGCCTGTGAGTGTCCTCATACTGACAATTAATAGACTCCAGCATCATGTGTATAGAATTCCAGCGCGTCTCAACAAATGCTTTCAGTGTTGCTTTGAGGCGTTTTTGGAGGTTTATCTGCTCGAAGTAGTGATTTGGCTGTCGATGAAAGCGGTCACTTCTTCACCAAACACGTCATGCTCAGGCATCTTTGATAGCGTGGTGGACAAGACAGTGTTGAAAATGTGGAAAGAGCAACTCAACCGTGTAACAGAATGAAGGGCTGCAACTAAATTTGTCCCTCTATCACATATACCAATTTCGCGAAAAATTCATCAAGGCTGAATTTATTTAATGCAATGATGATGGCTGCCTTAATATTGTCTGCTATTTTGCGTAATTCATTATTCCACTGAGACGTGCAGAGCACTCGCTCAATTAACTCCCACTTGCTGTTGATATAGTGCAGAGTAACGTAGAGATAGACGGTTTTTCCAATAATCATCTGTCCACATGTCGAGAGTGACTTCTCCATTGCTTTAACTAAGCTGCATTCGCAATTCTCTGATTATTCATGTATTTATGCCGCGTAAACATAAAACCATGTCTGCATTTGTGATCGGAGAAATGACAAACAACAAGCCCTACTCTACACTGCCCAAAAAATTTGCTTTAAATATATAAAATATAAAAACTCTTTAAATATAAAAAGCATACTTACAGTCTTTGAGTCAGAACAGCCGGCATTGTAGTCTACTCTCCCAGGATCAGGACACAGTCCTCCATAAAATGCGCTGCACACATCTGAATATTTGGGTTGAAGTGTTCTGGAACAGTGTTGTAAATACAACTTGACCACTGATTTATAGTCGTGTCCATTTTTGGAAGACCAAACAAAGTAGTTTCGCTTTCACAACGAAACACAGCGTCACACATGACGGCCTAGAGTGAGCAGAGGCCAGGGGATAAAGTGAGGAACAGCCGGCAGGCTGAGTGAGCAGAGGCCAGGGGATAAAGTGAGGAACGGCCGGCAGGCTGAGTGAGCAGAGGCGATCGTCCTCTTTTGGAAGGCCAAACAAAGCTTCTCATCATAAACCTCCACCAATAACTTCAGTTTCCATGTCTTTAAATACAAATATTTACAAGATTATATTAAAGCCCTGTGAAGCTGTGGTTTACAGTGAATTTATAACAGCTAAGGGGCGTTGTTAGGCACAACATCCTTGTGGCCCAATGACCCTGAACCAAAGACTGTTTCTATCTAAATTTTAGCTTTACTATGTAATAAATCTTAACAAACCATACAAGCCATACAAATTTGCTTAACATAGCATCATCTCATACAAATATTCTCAGTCAACATGTCTATGCAGAATGTTATGCGATGTTTGATAAATGTCGATAAAAAACTATTGCGAAATTATGGCGTTTCCATTAAAGGGGTCATATAATGCGATTAAAATTTTTCCTTTCTCTTTGGAGTGTTACAAGCTCTTGGTGCATAAAGAAGATCTGTAAAGTTGCAAAGACTAAAGTCTCAAATCCAAAGAGATATTCTTTATAAAAGTTAAGAGTCAACCACGCCTACCTAAAACGGCTCGTTCTAACACGCCCCCACATATCTACATCACTATGTGGGAAGATTTGCATAACGCCGCCCAAATGTTCACGCAAAGAAAGAAGGTGTAACTTTGATTCTCGCTGTAGTATTGTAGTATGCGCTTGTTGTTTGTCGTTTCTCCGATCACAAATGCAGACATGGTTTTATGTTTACACGGCGTGATACGCAACGCTA